GGAATGTTGAAGTGGACAGGTGAGGAAGATCTGGCAATTCTTGATCATGTCACCTGTCAAGACATGAGCAGAGCTTTAACAATGAACATTACCTAAACATTATGCATAAAGTTAATTCAACTTCCTTTTTTCCTCAGATAAGATAGTGACAGTTGTAAAATGTTTCTTTGTTCCTAACCTTTATTAATACTATTATTATTATCATTTACAATAAACCATATTTCATTATCCTGTTTTAGTGATTATTGTTTTTTTAAAGTATTAAAAAATATAATATTAGACCATGGTCTGTCTGCAGGGCCGGACTAAAAGTATATATATATGAAAAATAAATAAAAAAAATAAATAAATATATATATATATATATATATATACACACACACCAAGAGTTGTGGCATGAAACTCTAGATGGCACAGTTCGATAGGTCTAACTCAATCTGACCTAACAACATCATTATCACATGGCACAGTTGATTGGTTCTCTCCAGTATCGGTAGCCAATGAGCTCGCTGCTCAGCATTCAAATATACGACTAGTGCTTGCTGTAGCAGTTTGCAGCGTGCTTCAGAAACAGCGAAATCAACATCTAAGATAAGTGAATGCTCTTCTAATCCATATCGCTGTGTGTATTGTCTGGTCTGCCTAATTGAAAGTTTAAACTAGTGCTGTCAAACGATTAATCGCATCCAAAATAAACATTTTTGTTTACATAATATATGTGTGTGTTCTGTGTATATTTATTATGTATATATAAATACACACGCATGCATGTATATATTTAAGGAAAATATGTTGTTTACATATTAAATATATTTATATATGATATAATTTATATAAATATAAATATATACATTAAATATTTTCAAAATATATTCTGTATGTGTCTTTATATAAACATAATAAATATACACAGTACACACACTTATTTGTTTATATTATGTAAACAAAAACTTTTATTTTGGATGCGATTAATTGTTTGACAGCACTAATTTATATTATATATAAATATATTTAATATACAAATATAACAGATTTTTAAATATATACATGCATGACTGTGTATTTATATATACATAATAAATATACACAGTACACAAACATATATTATGTAAACAAAAACTTATTTTGGATGCGATTTATCGCGATTAATCATTTGACAGCACTAGTTTAAACTAAGTGGCATGTTAGCAGTTTGCATTGTATGCAGGAGCAAAATATTAAGCATATTAGCAGCAGCATTTAGCATCTGTGTTTATACAGCTGGAGCATGAATCCTTTGAGTTAGTGTTGTTAATAAATAAACTCCTTGGTTTGTACTCCTGGTTTCCTTGTTCCGTGCTCCTCACAGTAGCAACCGTGACACATTTAGCATCTGTGTTTATACAGCTGGAGCAAAACGCAGTCTAGAGCATGTAATCGCTCTGAGGACACGCCGATAGTAACAGACATTAAAACAGGTTAATTGAAATAAGCATTCTTGTGTAGGCTATGCATTTCAACCGTGGTTCGCCATATACAAAGGCGTAATCTCAGTGTTCACATTCATTATTTCTAGGGTCGAAGTTTTCATTGTGATGAGTGTGTGGGTGATGTTTTGCTGCGTGCAGTGTCAGAAGCACGCGCTTATCGCAGTCATATCAATGACAGTGTTGTGGGAGAAGGGAAATAATGCTGCGTTCAAGTCATCCTGGGACATTCGTACTAACGAGTTGACAAGTCGTAATAACGACGTCAGGTGCGTTCAAGTCACTTTGCTCTGAACAATATGGCGATTTTACTTTTTTCCATTAAATTCTATGATGGGACATTCGTACTAACGAGTTGACAAGTCGTAATAACGACGTCAAGTGCGTTCAAGTCACTTTGCTCTGAACAATATGGCGATTTTACTTTTTTCCATTAAATTCTATGATTTTTTTAAACTTTACATCTACAAAATGATGAATAAAGAATGTGCGTCATTGTGTTTTTGCTTTTTTCTGTTTTTATTCAATTTATGAAGGTGATGTAAACTGAATCATTATATGTCCTTTGGTAATTATACAATAATATAATATTTTGTATATGTAACATATAGTTTTTTTTTTACATTACAAAAAATGTATCATTTTATTAATTTCAACAAATTTACCATCAATACAGATGCTGCATATCTAGTCTTTGGATGCGTCCATTGCATCCGACACGTTTTCTCACTAACACGCCCCCAACTCGGAAACTCGGGGCTTAAAGAAAATTTCGAGTTTCCCACTCGTAATAACGACTTTGTGGTGGCGTTCATGTGCGTTCAACTAGTAAATACGTTCTATCCGACATGACTTGAACGCACCATAAGAGTTATCACTGAAGATCACTAAGGCTGTTGTAGTCCCGAGTGAAATGCATTATGGGTAGAGTAGTTCAGAGAAATGTTTTCATGTGACCTGTGCTTTCGTTGTGCTGTGTACTGTGTAGTTCAGAAAACGGAGAATGAACATTTATATTCTGCTTTTATTTCAGTTCATTCACGTCAGTCCACCTGGGTGTTTTTGTGCACTGTAACTCTGACAACTTTATCTGCATGAGAGAGTAAAATGACATGCATTGGCTAACTTTGTTCATCTCATCATTGCACGAACATGAATTAACAAGCTGTTACCTGCCGCTGGGACTGATGTGGAGAAAGTAACAGCAGTTATCAAATGACTAAATTATGATATTTGCTCAGGTGGGTGCTGGGGTCTCGGATTGCAACGTATATCCATTTTGTTAATTACCATTACACATAGTGCGCATCTAATTAGAGTTAAGCCAGTCGGCGTGGTAGCCTAGGCTCACATAGTCATAGGCCACTAGCGTTAAGCCGGTCGGTGTGGTAGCCCAGGCACACATAGCCATAGGCCACTATTGTTAAGCCGGTCGGCGAGGTAGCCTAGGCACACATAGCCATAGGCCACTAGTGTTATACCGGTCAGCGTGGTAGCCCAGGCACACATAGCCATAGGCCACAATTACTAAGTCGGTCAGCGAGTTAGCCTAGGCACACATAGCCATAGGTCACTATTGTTAAGCCGGTCAGCGTGGTAGCCCAGGCACACATAGCCATAGGCCACTATTGTTAAGCTGGTTGGAGTGGTAGCCCAGGCACACATAGCCATAGGTCACTAGTGTTAAGCTGGTCGGCGTGGTAGCCTAGGTACACATAGCCATAGGCCACTAGTGTTATGCCGGTCGGCGTGGTAGCCCAGGCACACATAGCCATAGGTCACTAGTGTTAAGCTGGTCGGCGTGGTAGCCTAGGTACACATAGCCATAGGCCACTAGTGTTATACCGGTCGGCGTAGTAGCCCACTACATTACCATGCCAATCCCTCCGAGAGTTGTCAAGACAGAAATATATATACTTTTTTGATTGCTGTTTTACAACTAGATAAACATAGCATCCAGCAGCAAGGATAACAGGGCCTTGCTAACCAGAAAACCCTTGGTTAGGGTTAGTATTGCATTTAAATGTATGCCTTTAGCAGACACGCTTATCCAAAGCCTCTTACAAAAGAGAAACAAAAGCAATTTGTCAAGGAGCTTACAGCATATACATAATATAATATATGGCAGGTTTATTTGACAGCTACATGAGGAAGCATGTTTTAATACGAGTTTTGGCAGTGGATTTGTGATGTTTCTCCTCCACCCGCCTCATCTGTGCTGCAGATCAACTCAACGTTCATCCAAAGTTTGAACAAAAAAACCTTTCTGTGAATCTGCACCAAAGTTTAATTCTGCAGTTTGAACGGTCTAAAAAACAGATTTAAATGTGCACTAAGCAATTTGTGCCAAACAATGTTGATATTTGAAAGCACCAAAACAAACACGTTAAAATCAACATTACTCACCTATCAAGAAAAAACAACGCAACCTCGGCGTCTGATCCGAGCCCTTCCCGCTCCTTGAGTTCTCTCCACTGCTGGAACGCGGATCCTCTTGCCTGATCGTAACCCTTATTTTAATGTTTTGTTTCTCTGACATTTTCCTCTTTATCTGCCATCTCTCTCTATCTATAGTCGATCTGCTAATATCCGTCCTGTGCACTCAAACGGAGCGCTCTCTTCTCTCTCTATCATTACAAGACACGCCCCCTTACTGCTGATTGGCTACAAGTGTGTTTTGGGACTCGGTCCGACGCTGTGGTCAAAAGTGTTTTTCAAATATTGCTTAGTGCACCTTTAAAGAAAAGCAGTCGTATTTCCCCTGCACTCTCAACAAAGCCTCTAATGAGTGACAATCACTAAAAACATACCATAAATACTATGAATATGATAATCATTCAGTATTATGGTATTGCTGACAATTTACCAACACTGTTCTAGGGACTGTCCATAAATATTAATGTCAGAGTATAGTAAAACCATACTCAGTATGAAAACTGAGGTGAATGATTTAACATGTCAGAGAGTGATGAAGCAGTAGAGATGAGAGTGAACAAACAGGCTTTTATTTATTATGCACTCTCTTCTTAGGACAGTATAACTTCATGAAACCACATAAATAATGGTAAATGCATAAGCGTAAGTTAATAACCATTCTAAGCAATCGCAAATGATCGAAAATGCTGGCAGAGGCTGGAAACTGGAAAGATTTAGTTATTGTTTGCTCCATTAGTGAGCTCCTTGGGTCAATCCAAACACTCTCAGTATATGAATTCACTATCAGTTTTCAGTTTGTCGGTCATTTCCAAAACAAAATGGTTCTGTTGTTAACCCAGCTCAACATGGCTCGGATACGTCCAAAAGCTCATCTAAGAGAATGTTACTGGTTTAATGAGTCGCTCAAAACAATTCAGTCTGACTTTGTTACAGGGTTTAAATTCTTTTAAATGACAATTTAAGCAACCCAACTTTGATCTTCATTTGTCATGCATAAGTTGCTTCATTACAAGTTTTAAGTACATTATTTTTAAAAAATGAATCTGAAGTTGAAGATTATTTAATTAATTGGTATATTTTACTGTGACAATGGGCACTGTAAACAAATAATTATTACTATTCCCATCATTTCCTTCCTTAGTGTCAAAACCCCTTGGACTGTTATGATGTCTGCAGTGCAGTCATCTGATTCTATCTGCGGTCCTGACTCAAAAACTTTACCTCACTGAGATAAGATTATGTCCTGTGTATAATGTATATATTTTTCTTTAACCTATAATATATCCACCACTGATATTCAAATAGGGAGCTGTGTTTTCTTACCCATGTTCTTGGGAGGAAGCCGCTCGATTCTCCACACGACGGCTCGATGCACGTTCTCATATTTGACCGTGCCGACAGACACGTGCATCACAGACTGAGACTCGGCCACATGCGCTGAGCCCAGACACGTGTTTCTGTTCATGCGAACCTTCAGAGATTTCTGCCGCAGCAGCGACATGCTGTTGGGCACTTTGACCCAGTCGCCCGGGAACGGCACCTGAAGTACAACGTTTTCACAGACCGTCTCTGTAGGCGATGGGAACCTGGACAAGACGTTGAGGAAGACCTGGAGCTCGATGCAGGCACCCTGCACAGTCACCAGGGCTTTAACAGAGAGCGGGGGCTCCCCGCAGTGGAGCGACACTGTCCTGTAGCGCACCAGCTCCACTCGACAAGCGTCCGGAGGACAGAACTTAATCAGCCGCTTGTCTACAAACTCTGCCTCTATGACACACCGATGGAAATGGTAGTCTGCGATCGCCATCCAGACCTCCTCGTCCTCATCAGAGGCGTACGCAGGAGCTTGTCTGAGAAGCCCCAGGTCATTCAGAGCTAGGAAGCACTCCGCCGCCCCGTTCAAGAAGGCGAGACAGTGAATTTGTGTAACGGCCGTGCACTCGAGAACAGCGCCGTCCTTATTCTGCCGCATCCAGACGCGGTCAGATATCTGCAAGGACAGCTCCTGCTCTTCGTAGTGTTTGTGCTGCTGGTGCGGCACTGGTAATCGCAGGAGCTCTTCTTCTATGGACACCAGCAAGTCCTCCATGTCTCCGTATTCTGTGGTGCCGAACTTCAAGAGTTGCTCCACTTCTGGTTCGTGGGTCACCTCATGTTTGGGGTGATAGCGCTTTCTCTCGACGTACGACACATGCTCGACCTTCAGCGTGGCGATCTTGCGCGGCTCGCCATAACTCTCGAGCTTCGGACCTGAGAGAGCGCAGTAGGCATGCAGCTGGAACTCTTTGAAGGGTTTCTCCAAGCCCTTCTCATAAAAGAGCTGCAGCAGCGCTCCGGGCAGCAGCTGCAGGTATATGGGACCCCACTGGCGCGAGGACATGCGGTTCTTCTTCTCTGGGATCCGAAGCATCAAGGACCAACCGTGTCTCCTCTGACTGAGGAACAATCCCTGTGGGACGAAGGCTGACCGAGTTCTGTTCATTGCTTGATCTTTCACAGCACCTAAGCCTGAAGGTTGCTTCTCCTTTTCTGGTTTCCCATCATCACCTTCCTGCTGGTTCTCCTCTGTTCTCAGCTGTTCTAGTTTATGGCATATGTAGGAGTAGGAGTACTGAAGGTGGTCTTGGGGCGGCTCGTTGCCGTCCTTGGAACGGATGAAGAAACGGGGCAAACTGGGTCCAGAGTCTGAGTCGGACGATGAGGTCCAGGACACTCGTTTGTGCTCAGCTTCCCCCCAGAAGGGGTTAAAATGGCCTGGCTCATCACGGGTTGCATTGAGAGAAGCAGAGCCTTCAGGCAGCTTCATGGAGTCTCTCTGAGAGAAGCTGGACAGACCGCTGGAGAAGTCCGGCTGCTCCTGAGGAGCGTAATGTAAGGGAGACAGACCCGCCGGAGTGTGCAGAGGAGTGTTTCTGGGCACACATGAACTCCCATTGAGGCTGAAATCCATGGAAGGGGATTCGATGGCAGAGCTGAAGCTCCATGATTCACTTCCCAGGGATGGCAGAACAAGTTTCAACCCGTTAGGCCGAGGTACTGAACCCGAGTTTGATGTAGGAGAGCGCGGGGATTTCTGGGGTGAGGAGAAGGTCGTCCCTTCATCGTCAAATGTAACCCAGTTGGCTGGATGATTCGTGGAGCACATTGCTTTACTCTTCTTGTGCGCACAATCTTCTGCAAAAATAGACAGACACTAATAAGGTACTTACAAATCTGAATGAGTTTCAAACCAGCCTGACTGTTTCAACTATATGTTGACTAGTGGATACACGGGATGCTCTGATTCTGCAGAGAGAGGGCACACAGACATTATTATGGGATGCATTGATTATGGGGTATCTTAGTTGAAAGGGTAGAAATATTGAAGGCTGCAGCTGAACTTAAAGCAATAGTGTGAGTCTCTTTGACCGGCTCCAGAGCTTCCTAACTGTCAGAATCAAATGAATAAACACAAGAAACAGCAGCCCTTTGCCCTGCAGTACATTCACACGCGTGTGGGTCACGTTATGAGACCCTTTACAGACCCAGGGTGTCAAACCTCGCAAACAGAAATGCTTGTTTACATTATTGATTATGCAGTACTTAATATTCTGCATGATCGGTCAGTTCATTAAAGGGGTCTTTTTCAACTTTAGTGTGCAATGTTGCTGTTTGAGCATTAAAAAAATCTGCAAGATTACAAAGCTCAAAGTCCACTCTAAAAGGAGATATTCTCTTTAACAAAACACTTTCCAAGAACTACAATAAACTGCTCGTTTGGACTACAGCGAGCTTCTCCCAAATATTGTGAAGTCACAATGCCACTCCTTTAAATAATCTCCACCCACGGGTGTGGCCTGTTGAGCTGTGCTGGAGAAGAAGAAGAAGGAGAAGAAGGAGAAGAAGAAGAAGAAGGAGGAGGAGGAGAAGAGCATCTGCTTTAGTAGCGTCCTCTCGTCATGGCCGTCCACCCCAGCTCCCAAACCCCTTTGCTTGGCCTTCCAAATCCAGACAAACTTATTTTTAACACGGTTCCTGAACATTATAAATCTACATGTAATCTGGATTACCAAAAAAATTAAGTACTTGTAATTTGATTAAATTACATTTTGAAATACTCGTAATCAGACTACTGTTACCTTTAAAATGTATTACATGATTACATATTCACACAATAGCAATAACTTATTCACAATGTATTGATTCTCCCTAATTCCTCTTTTAAATGTTGCTTTCTAAAATACCAGTGAAATACACTCAGAAAGTCTTCCAGTTTTGTGGACATTCACACAAACACCAGTCACATTACACAGAAAACTGAGAGGCCACGAGAGCTTTTGAGCAACGGATTTTCACAACCAGTGTTTTCTCAGCATTTCAACATTGCATCAACTACTGATGAACATACACATTTTTATTTGAACTATATGACTACGTCTTTGGAAGTCAAACACATTAAAACGCACAGATGCATGTTATTTCTTATGTACATGTAATGCAGGGATTCCCAAACTAGTTCAGTCCGTGGCATCTCTTTCAGCCATTATATGTTCTTGAAGTACCCTGACATCTGAAGGCAATATTTTAATAATGAAGCATGCATGCTCGGGGCTCTCTGACTTTGGTAAATGGTCACATGACATGCAGGTAAACAAATAAACTATTTTATTTTGATTGATGCCATTTTTAATTTCTGTGATTGAATGCATTATTAGCTTTTCATGAAACTCATAAAGCCCCAGCAGTTCCTTTACGAAGCCAAGTTTGGGAAACCTTGGGGTAATATAATGTTTAATGCGGCTTATGTTGCCAATATCAACACATCTGATACGTTTTCTTTGCATTTTTATATCAGTGTGGGCAAGATTATACCGTTTAATACAATGTGAAGATGTTAGGGAATATTACTGAAATGTGTGTGTTTATGCTTGTCCAGGAACAGCTGTCTCTCTTCTTCACTGCTGCGAGGCTGAAAGCTGTGAAGCAGGGTTATAAGCGTGCTCTTCTCGGACTCACAGGATGCTGTCTGACCCTCTGTGACCCTGAGATGGTTTCAGTCTGCATCACACACAACTCAATCATAATCATAATCATAATCTCAGCTGACAACTCAACAAACCGACTTGAAGCGGTCACATTGACGAGGACAGACTAAAGCTCGCTCGAGGAAATACCGTAGACAGAAGTCGGTGCACTGGAAAACATCTGTAAACATCTGTCCGGAGCTGATCTCGCTCGCAGTGAGGGTTTGTGACTCCCTCGCGCTGGCGCTTTGTGTGCAGCAACTGCAGAACTACACCAAACAACGACAAACACGTGGAAACAGTGTGTGTGTGTGTGTGTGGGGTATTTAGTCACCTCATGGTTTTAGGCGTGTGATCCGGCGCGGACGGTATTCTCTCAAGATGGCAGAAATACGTGGAGCGGGCGCGACTCCAGCCAGAACATCCCGAACGGGAAGCGGATTCTGCCGACGGCCTTATTCATGAGGCACGGCACCAATCAACCGCAACACAACCTAATTAATATTCATGAGGCACGGGAGAGCACCAATCAACCTCGACAACCTAATTAATATTCATGAGCGATGGCAGAAATCCGTGGAGCGGGCGCGCCTCCAGCCAGAACATCCCGAACGGGAAGCGGATTCTGCCGACGGCCTTAATATTCATGAGGCACGGCACCAATCAACCGCAACACAACCTAATTAATATTCATGAGGCACGGGAGAGCACCAATCAACCTCGACAACCTAATTAATATTCATGAGCTCTTCCTCCGCCGTTAGTGGGAGTCGAAGTTTGGAAGAACTTCAGCGCCACAAAACTTTTTTTTTTTTTTTTAGTCTCGTGTTTAGTCCTCTTAAGACAAACATTGGGGCTCGTGAAATGAATTCTGAAAATAAAAAAACTGAAGGCAAAATGGCGGAGTTGACAGCTTTATTGTCTCGGGTTGGGTTGAATCCAGTACATTGTGCTGCTAAACAGATCCGTATCAAGAGAAATAAGAGACTAAAGATGAGAAGATCGTGACACTCGTGCTGCTCTTCATCAGCGATCAGAGCACTGGAGAGATTCAGAGACGCATCAGACTCTACTGCACAATGATCTGTGATACATGACTTCATGAACTCTAGACAACCACAACAGATTTAGTGCATAAAAACATGGTTTATTCCTGGAGGAAAATCACTGGATTCAGTGTGTTCACTCACATGCCCCTTCTCATCCAGACCATTTCTTCAGTATATTTGTTTGGAAAAAAAGCACACGAGTTTACCATGATTTTACCTCTGAATTAATCACACACGCTTCTCTGCAGAATTAAAACAGACTTGTGTGTATGAGGCATGCTTTCTCTAACAAACAACATCTTGTGTGAGGAGAAACAGACGCCGTAATTACACTAAACACACACACACACACACTCACATTCACACAGAGACACACACTCACTCACGCACACACAGACAGAGACACACACACACACACTCACAGACACACACACACACACACAGAGACACAC